AAAAAAGCACAAAAAGAGCCAAAGAGTTTTACTTTCCCTTTATCAGCGGCACCTGCAGCATGAAGCCTGAGCAACAGGCCTGGTCTTCTCATTCTTTCTTGCTTTTATTTATTTTTATTTAGTTACTTTTTGAAGAGGTGGGGAGGGGCCCAGGGAGAGGGAGAGAGAATCTTGGCAGGCTTCACGCACCACAGAGCCCAAAGTGGGACTTGACCTCATGACTCTGAGATCATGACCTGAGACAAAATCAAGAGTAGGTCGCTTAACCGACGGAGTCACCCAGGCACCCCACCCCTCTTCTTGCTTTTAAAATAAGCAACCTTCATTTACTCTTTCATTTTTTAAAAAAAATTACATTGATTGAAATAGTCTGAGCAACAAACTAGTGATGGATCATAACTGAATGGAATACATATATTCACAAACGTATACTGACATAAATGATTGAATAAATAAACTGGAGAGAAGGCACAATGCCTTTGCAGAGGCAACTTAGGTAGTCACTGTGCCCTCAAGGAGGTGGAGCACAGCCCTGCACCCAGTGACTTCCTTCTATGAGAGCAGCATGGAAGTGGAGAAACCTGACGAAGACACCTCAGCCAGGTGACCCACGTTAAGGTCAACAGTGATGAGATGCTCGAACAGCACACACCCTTGATGTGACGGGATGAAATGGCACCTTATCTCTGTGATCTTCCTTCTAAAACCCATAATCCCAGTCTGATGGTGAGAAAAACATCAGGTGAAATCCCAACAGCGGGGTATCCTACAGAGCACCTGCTTAATGCTCCTCAGAACCGTTAAGGCCACAGAAATAAGGAAAGTTTGAAAAACTGCCACAGCCAAGAAGAGCCTAAGAGACGTGATGACCGAATGTCACAGAATAACCTAAGTGGGATCCTCTGGCAGAAAAATCAGGTAAAAAGTCAGGAAATCTGAATGAACTATTGGCTTTAGGTGATAATTATGTGTCAATATTGGTTTGGGAATTGTGACCAGTGTTTGCCACACTGATGACAGATGGCGGGAATGGGGGAACCCGGGCATGGGGTGCCTGGGAGATCCACACTCATTTCACAACTTTTCTAGAAATCTACAACTACTCTAGAATAAACATTCTAGTAAAAATAGTTTGTAGAGTGTTGCTAAAAAAAGTCATCTTGCCATTGTGAGGGAAGGCCTATGTAATTCTTAATGCTACCCCCTCAATCTTGGAAGTTTTGTTTATTTTTGAGCCTCTCCTCACTCCTGAGGTGTCACCATTTAGAATCTGAAAGCACCAAAATCCTAGCTTTCTCTCAACTATCAGGCTTCTCTGGAAGGGCTGGGACACGCCCTCCCTCCCTACTCCCTTAGGAGGCTGCTGTCTCTCGGCTCCAGACCTTTCCTGTCTGGCCTGTGACCGAATCTCTGGACCAACCGTGCATTACTGTAAGCTCGATCGCATGGTGACCAACTGCGGTGACTGTCCCAGATGTGGCATCTTGGGGGCCATGCCACTACCATCTGGATACATACTTTCTCTCCATGGCAACTTACAAAGATCCACAGAAGCAGTCTGCTTGGACCTGGCACAGGACACTCACCATGTCCTGGAGGCTACACTGCCTTCCTGCTCTCGGCCTTCGGGCATCTGCAGAGATGCTCATTTTGACATTCCACATGCCACATGGGCCCGCTATGTTGAGGACACTGTGCTGACTGGATCCAATGGGCATGAAGTAGTGATACTTCAGATGATGTCTCAGTGAGATATAAGAAAACCAGAGGGGGAGTTTCCAGGGTAAGGGAGGCTGGGAGCATTAGCAACAGCGAATTCAAGTTGTTGCTCTGCACACACCCTGCCAGCCAGCCATCACTAGGTAGGTCTTTCAGAAGCAACATGTACCACAAAGTGGCTACTCTGACACATTCACTGAACGGTCTATATAAGCAGAGTGACCAGAGCGAGGGAAGGCTCCTTGTCCACATGGACCTATCACCTCAAAGTCAACACCAACACCAGGGATCCTCTATGAAGGCCCATGGCACATGTCCAGGGTTAAGAACAACAGCAGCAAAACCCACACCTTCTTTTGCAGATACTTTCCTTCTGAGAAACAACTACTGGCTGGCTATAGGGCCCTGGTAGAGCTGGAACCAACTGCAAAATGCCGAGTGACTCTGCAGCCTGAGTGCTCACTGTGCCCGGGTGTCACCTGCCTGTTGGGCAAACTGCCGAGTGTGCGTGGCAGCCAGGGCTCAGCTAGTGGAAACGGTGGCTCAGGGACAGAGCTTGCACAGAGGCCTGTGAGCCCCCTCTTGTTCCTCCCATGTCTATAGGGGTGCTCCTTCAGATGGCTGCTGCTGGGGAAAGAACTGGCTGGCTTCACAGATGCTGCTCAGGGCAGGCTGGCCCCAGGTGGGGACACAGCCATGGTACCCACTGAAAACGGGCGGCTACAGGACCCCAGGTGGGCAGAACTGCAGGTGGTACAATTGGTTTCCGCTGTCAGGACAGGGGGACAGCCAGAACACAGATGGAGGCTTGTGCCTGGTTAATCTGAGTAGGAAATCGGAATTTTGGGCAGCCCGGGTTGCTCAGTGGTTTAACGCTGCCTTCAGCCCAGGGCCTGATCCTGGAGACCCGGGTTCGAGTCCCACATCGGGCTCCCTGCATGCCTGCTTCTCCCTCTGCCCGTGTCTCTGTCTCTCTTATGAATAAATAAAATCTTTAAAAAAAAAAAAAGGGAAATGGGAATTTTGCCGAACCCAAGCACAGGAGGCTGAGCCGGCCTCTCAAAGACAGAAGCTGGAGGCTGAAGCTACGTCCAAGGCTGTTCTTTCCCCTCATCTGGGGAGTCTTTCATTCACCTCTTCTCATACGTCTCTTCTAGTCCTCTTGGTTTCCGTGCGTCTAGAAGTCAGGGCTCTGACACTTTGTACTCTCAGGATAACGTGGTCACAATACTTGTATGATTCTGCAACTTGCTTTTTTATTTAAAAACATACTCTTGACAAATATTTCTTCTGTTCTTCTTAGTGGCTGCAAGAAGTCGTATTCCATGACATGCCTATAACTGGGATTTATTTCACCAATCTCGAGATATGTAGGCTGTTTCTGGTTCTCTGGAGCCCCATGCTGTGTTCTCTGCTTGCTTTCTTCACTCTCAAGATGCATCAACGAGTACTGTAGTCTACGTCTAGAAAATACTCACACCTTTCAAATGCATGTTTAACTTTGCTCTACCCACAATAACCTTTGTCCCCTATTTCCCTGGTAACAAAGTTTAGTTCCTTCAAAGCCAACAGTCTCACAGGATTCAGGACTTCCAGGGGATGATGCACGCACAGCTTGTTTAATTAAGGCAGTGATATTACTGGATCAGCGACCTCCGACAACCCACAAAACATCACATTTTTCATGTATCATGCACTTCGGGTAAATTTTAAATTCGGAAGGAAGTCAATTCCATGGCAAGGGAAAAGCTGAGTAGGAGTGAAAGCAGACATGGGTCTTGCCAGCCATCACTTTTCTATTGGTGGGAAACCTAGCGTCAGGAGATCTGGTTCTTAAGAAAGTGATAAGCCTTTGGGGGAATGGGAGCGAAGGTGAGATGGGTTGATCTAGTAGTTCTTTACTTTGGGAATTGAGAATTTCTAGCTATTTTACTGCTGAAATCTATGGTTACAGTTGTGAAGACCGTATTTCTTGAAGTTACTATCTGTCAAGTTCCCTATGTATTACTGTAGTGGATGCTTTCTTGTTGTGTCAAAGAATCAGAGAATCTGAGGGGTTTAGAAGAAACCTTGAAGGCTACCTGGTCTGAAGTAAATTTAGCTAAGTCATAGGATGTAAGGTCAATTTACAGAAATCAGCTGTATTTCTGTATAATGAAAAAACAAAACAAAACAAAAAACCCCACCACAGCTGGAAAATAAAATTAAACAAGAACAAAGCTGTTTTCACGTTCCCGAGAGTCCTGTGTAGCACACACCAAGTGCAGGCAAAGTGGCCTCGGGAGCCCAGGTGTCCTCTGAGTGGCCATAGGAGCAGCTGCAGGAGGGACAGCAGACCAGGCTGGGGGACAGGTGAGGACAGGCCCCAGAGCGTGGGGCAGAGCCAGCTGAGTCTGGGCATGTATCTCCCAGGATGAACTGAGAGGCTGGGGTGAGCTCAGAACGGCACCTGCCCCCACCCCAATTCTGCCAAGAAGCCAGCTGAGGCCACGGTCTGTGGGCCTTCACCTGAGTTCTACCCTGGCAGGGCCTTTCTGAGTCCTCCCTGGCCCTGCAGGGGGTCTCCCGGGGGCACACCCTAAAAAAGCACCCACTGTCCAAGAACTCCTGGCTCAGCGGCTGCTTTTGGGAGCAAAAGTGAAGCTACTCCTTTGTACAGATTTATGTACAGAGACACTAGATACCTGTGTGTATATACATGTTTATTACATCAGATGTAACGTGACTGTTATGGTGAATATATCATTCAGGACTTTCCATATATGATTGGTAGAGAATGAGCTGCAATAAGCACAAGTTTAATGCCAAAGTGATCAGGTTCAAATTTTTCTGCTAAAAGAGATCAATACAGTTCTTTCTCAGATCATCATCTACCTTAGTCATTTTTTTCTTTTTAAACAATATGATCTCAAATTAATTTATTATATATTCTACTAAATAACTAAAAGATCAGGATATACTGAGGGAGACATACAGCTCAGGCTCTAACGTCCAAGACAGATCCCATTACTCACCAGCTCTGTGGGTTAAGTTACTAAATTCTAGAATTTGTGGGCTTAACTTTGTGATTTAAGTCCTTTGACTCCAGAATGAGTTTCCTTCTCTGGAGAAAGAGGACAGTGACAGCACATTCCTCCCACCAGGGTGGGGTGGGGGTGGGGTGGTGGAGAATGCAGACAAAAGCTCAGTGTGACACCTGACATATGCAAAGTGCTCAGCAAGCATCTGCTGGTGTCACCCAGACAGCATGCCAGCAGGTCGTGAAAACTGTGCACACTTACTTGTAAAGTAGTATCAAAGACCACAAGCTTTGAACTTGTGGGAACGATGTCATAACACTTGTGTGACCTCATGAAGCGCATGTAAACACCACTCTCTGAGTCTTCTGCTAAAAAGGAAAGAGAAAAAGGCAAATATCAGCAACAACCAAGGACTTGCTCATCAGCTGGAGAGGGTGTACGAGAAGCGGGCAGACTTCGTGGATGCTGGGACGGGCTTCGCGAGAGCGAGAAGGCAAGAGTGCTCACGCGGACTGGAGGCCCTCGCCCAGACAGTAAGGAGACACACAGGTGTACGGATGGAAAAGGAGGTGGCAAAACTATCTTTACTGGCAGACCATATGATTTTCTTACATAGAAAAGACCAAAGAATTGACAAAAAAGCTCCCAGATCTAAAAGAAATGAGGTGAGTCAGGTCACAGAATGCAGCATTACTAAAAACAAACACATAATTTATAAATAAATAAAATATGTAATTTACATAAATGCTCAATGGAAAAATGGATCCACACAAGGAGACAAAGCACTGAAAACGGTAACCATGTGAATACACGGGTTATTTAAATCTCTGTAAATGTTAGTGGGCAGTTGGCAATGATCTAGGGTGGTCCAGCATACTGATAAGTGAACTGTGTGGCACCACCATCCATCCGATAGTATAGAAATCTACGCTTAATCTAGGCTTCGTCCTCGTCACAGTCTCCTTGGCCCTCACAGGTTTATCATGAGGTGCTGCAGGGTTTAACACAAATCTCTCTTTAATCCACCCACTTCCCTACCTCCACGGTCACTGGCCTGGGTCCAATGATTGCCCCAACTTCCTAACTGGTCTTTCTGCTTCCAAGCTGTCCACACTGCATCCAGAATGCTTTTGCCAGATGCAAATCTGATCATGTGATGCCTCTGCTGGAAACAGTTGAACGGCTTTCGAAAAAGGCTCCTGGTGTGGCCTATGAGCCCCAGCCTGAAGGTGTGGCCACTCCAATGTCCTAACCTCACCTATCCAGTGCCCGCACCCCAGTGGCCTCCAGCTCCAATGTCTTCACTAGGTCCCCCACTGAATGCTATGTTCTCTTCTTCCAAGGGGCCTTCAACTACTGTCTCCTCCATCTTCAACACTTGGTCCATCTCTTCATGGCCCCACGAAATCCTCCCGCGGTAGACTGTAGCTCAAGGACGTGACTGAGAAGCTGTGGAACCAGAATCTAAGCCTGGTTGCCTCTTAATTCCAGAGCTACGTTCTCCCCACTACCCCCGCCTGCGGTGGCCTAACTCCTAAGTGGCTTCAAGGTGGAGCACAGAGTAGACTACCTCCAAGGGACTTCGACAGCTTCCCTTCGCCCACACTGATCTGTACACTTTGGGAAGATGGAGATTACCTGGGAAATATCTGGGGAAAAAAATTACTTTGTTGTATTTAGTAATCACCAAAGTAAGTATTAAATAGCATGACGCTCACCAACTTTCCCAACTATGGAAAGGGGCTCGTTATTCTTTGTAGGTCCTGCTACAGTCAACCCTCTCTATGTGCCACCTGGCTTGCCAATTTCATGACAAACCATGTCTTTATTTTCAATCCTGGCCATTCTTCCAGGTTCTAGAATTCATAATCCTACTGTTCCAATCACCTCCTCGCCCGTTCCCTCCTCAAGTATCTCCCCTCCTGCTCGTGGAATAGTCAGGGTTGGTCTGGTATCCATGAACTTCCTCATCTCTCCGCCTCCTGTTCCCACATCTAGGCAAACAGCTCCCTGCGAAGTTCCTACTGTATTTAATCTCGCTTTCTTGTATTTGTTCGTTCTGTTGTAACTTAAACATCCTTGCTTTCTTGTCCAATTTCAACCCAACCTCAAATGCCATATTATCCACAAAAAAAGTGAATATGAGTGTTTACTCTGGGCCAAGCATTTCATACCTTATACCTCCTTTAATTTACGTAACAACGTGGAGGAGAATGCCTTAACTTTTCACTTTATATGAGCAAACTGAGGTGAGGAGAAGCCGAGGAGCTGGCCTAAAGTCATATGCTCAGGAACTAAGGTTAAACTAAGGTTTAAATCTATATCCAGAACCCCAACACTTTCAAGAGACTGGGCAGCTTCATTTATGCACGCACATGCGTCTGCCAGAAGCCTGTGGAGTGCTATCTCTATCAGGCACTGTCCCTGGGGGTGACACGGAACGTGAACACAACAGGCACGGTCTCTGCCCTCCAAGCACACACACTGGCAGAGAATGAGGGCACCTGGATATATGCCACGTGGCAGAAGCCCTGGACACGGGCAGACACAGGCAGACATGAAGTGGATACCCTGGACACGGGCGGACAACCAGCCCTGGGTCAGAAAGGCAAGGACATCTCATGACTTCCTCCTCTGAAGACTACTGACTCCACCCGTATTTCTCATCAGCTGTCACTTTATAGCTCATTCATGGCCATTTGTGTAGCTTTACTTCTTCTCCTTCTGGGCCGATTACTTCTCTGAAGGACCAAGATTTCACTCGTCCACTACATTAATTAACTCAGTAACTCTTTATTGCATCTGGTTTCAGTGTGGGTTCTCCCAAACCTGGTCAGTTTGGATTTGTATGATGCTTCTCTCATGATCTCAGTCATGGGGTCATGTGTTTTGGGAGGGAGGCCACAAGGTAAAGTGCCATCTCAACCCACCATATCGAGAGAATGTGCTGTCAGCATGACTTACCACCTGGGTCACCTGGTTCAGGCAGTGTCTGTCAGGTTTCTCTGCTGTGGAGAGACTTTCTCCTCCTTCCATGTGGCAGTTTTTGCAAAAATGTCACCATGTGTAGTCCATACTTAAAGGGTCAGGAATTACGCTCCCCCTCGTTGAGGGCAGAGCACCTACATAAATAATTTGAAATTCTTCTGCCTAGAATTATCTAAATGTATCAGTGTGGATTTATAATATTTATTTTAGACTTTGAGTTACAACCCAATACTATGTGAAGATGGGTCAGGAAGCCCAAGGGTGTCCCCTTGCAGTGGCTGACAAATCTGTGCGTGGCTGGGGAGCACACTCCAAGTTCTGACAGCCTTCTGCCCTGGCTGTGACTTCCTGTAGGTCCCCCCAGGACTTCCTTGCTCAGACACACGGCCTCCATGTCAGCCAGGAGTCTGTGGAGAGCTGGGCCCTCTGGGGTCCCCTCTGGGAGAGTTTCCTCAATCAGTGATGCTGGGGTGAGGGGGCCTCTCTCGGTCCTTGCCTGAACACACATCAGTCTTGAGTAATGTCTATCACCACCATCTTACATTAGCATGGTACTTCTGCTACAGCTCACGAACCAGGAAAACAATAACAAGTTATTAACACAAGTCCATTTGTCATTCAGAATTCCTTAGTTTTTATCCAGGACAGCACATAACATTCAGCCTGGCTCCTCAGGCGCCTCTTGGCTGAGGTGGTTTCCCAGACGTTCCAATTGTCTTGATGGTCTTGAGGAATCCCAGGAGGCACTCGGGAAGGAGCCCGTTGATTGGAAAGTCTGACATGCTCCTCACAACTGGACTGGGGGTGTGGGGTTTGAGGAGGACCTACATTTTTTTTTAATGTAAGAAACTTGACCAAAAAAAGCAAAATGTTAAATCTGTAAAACAAATGATAATAAAATTTATTTTGGTCTGTGATAAGGAGAGAGATGATTACTGTAGTAAGAAGACAACGTCAATCACAAAAGTATTAGTATTTTAAGTTAGGAAAATAAAGTGAAATATTATCAACTGTCATGGCTTCCCTATACTGAGTATCGGCTTTCTGATTGTACGTGGCACCATCTGTATTATTTTCCCTATGATGAAGTCTCAAATTACAACCGCAGAATGATATGCAATGAAACAGAAAATAATAACGTGGAGTTAAGCTAAAAACAAAAAAAGAAAAAAAAAAAAACAAACCCCAAAACCATTCAACAATAACAGGTTGTTTGGAATGTGTTATTAAAATTCCTGAGAACACAAGAAGTTCAGACTCCCCTTATTCAAAGGGTAACTGGGGTTAAGATATTATCAGTGTTCCATTCTTGCTCTTGTTTTATGTCGCTGGACAGAAGCATAATTAGAGAGCATTACACAGGCAGTGAAATCTCAGCACCCCTCCAACAACATGCGAACCCACCGTTGGTTGAGGCAACTGCTAACAAGCACTACTGGGAAGTAGAAAGTATATGTCCAAAGTGTCTCATATGTGAAGGTGAGCAAAAGAATCCGAAAAATGCAGCATCTAAGTTTTAATGCGAACAATCCTATACCCTAGGTGGGGATGCGTGGAAGCCAGCATTTCCCTCAGAGAGGATCTGACCACACCCCACCTGCCCTCCTGGCCTCCTTTCCTACCCGCCCCCCGAGTCGTCCACTCTGAGACTGCATGGAGACTTCCTTTTCAGAGGAGTTTTTGAAGTTTGGGAAGTTCAACTTTGGGAATGTGCTCCCTGGGTTTCCGCCTCTGCTCTGCTCCTGCTGTTCCCTCTTCTAAGAGAGCACTTTCCAGTCCTCTACCGGCTTCTGGAACCCCACCTGCCTTTTCTTAGCAGAAGAGTGGCTCCCCAAAATACATGCCCAGCTGGAAGGTCAGAAGGAGACTTTATTTGGAATAAGGGTCTTTACAGATGTAATCACAGTAAGGACCTTGGGATGAGATCAGGCTGGATTAGGCCGGGCCCTAAATCCAAAGACCTCTGATCTTATGACACAGAGAAGACGAGACCCAGAGAGAGGAGGAGGCCACGGGATGACATGACGATGCAGAGGCTGAGTGACGCCGCTGCCACAGGCCCGGGGATGTGGCTCCAGAAGCTAAGAGAGAGAGGCAGGGCACACAGACGCCCCTCAGAGGAGGGGACTGCCACCGTCACCTGGAATCCAGTTCTGCTGTTCGAAGCTGCCACGTCTGTGGGATTTAGCGATGGTGGCCTCGGAAAACCGAACTGAGTTCAAAGGCCCGGACAGTTTCCTGAGGGGTCTTCAAGTCAGAAGTAACTGCTCATTTTGGCATTGCCACTCATGCTTCGGGAGTAATTCGGGTCTGGAGTCATCGTGTGCCTTGCACCAAAGTTACGGGTCTGCTTTCCTTTTAGATGGCAGCCTCCTGAGGC